GTCAGTCAATAAAGTTTAGGTACAGCGAATTTTTTACAATACCGGCAACAATTTTTATAAACATTTAATTTCTCGCAAATTTTTTATAAAAATATGGTTAATTCTACAACAAAAACCCCAAAAATCAGAGTTCCAAACCTTATGCTAAATTAAAGAAAATTCAAACTACTACATACCCAACTTTTTCCTAGAGAGCCTAAATAAAAAGTGCAATATTTGAATGAAATTTTGCAGAATTTTCTTTAATTTTGCATAAGGTTTGGAACTCTGATATTTGGGGTTGTTTTGAATTAACCATATTTTTATAAAAAAAAAATTTCGAAAAATAAAATATTTAAAAAATTGTTGCCCGTATTTTAAAAAATTCGTTGTACCTAAACTTTATTGACTGACTCTATGTATGTATGTATATAACTATGTATATGTATACATATATGTGTGTATGTATGTACATATGTATATTTGTAAGTACATGAACACCCTGCAGCAAAATTTAGAAACAGCATCTTCGGACCGGTCTCCAAACCATTGTGCATACTTGAAAGTGAAAAAATAATCAGATGTTTTCCAGAAACGCCTCACAGCTGAGATCACCTGGTTTCGATTGCTACAGCGTTACACTCAACATATCACCGACGGGTAAAGGCAAAATCTTTCTCTCGAATACTCCAATAGCCGCCTCATCGGATGTTGTTATTGACCATGCTTCTGCGCCATATACCAAGGTGTGTGCGCAGAGGTCTTCCCTAATTGTGACGGAGCTGGTGGTATTCAGTGTTGCCACTTTCCGTATAATTATATGAAATCAGTACAAGTTTACATAATAATAATAATAGATTGGCGCTTACACATATGTTAGTGTTTGGCCGAGCTTCTCCTCCCACACACAAGTTACATAGCTTTGAATAATTTTTATATAAAATATTTTTATATAGTTTGAATCATTTTTGTTTATTTTGGTATAGTTTGAGTCATCTAAATTTTGTACAGAATGATGAATTTAAAACGCCAAATATAAAATAGGCGATACGAAACTGCGTTCAACTTTTGTATGTTCGTTGACAAGTTGGCAATGCCAACCAACTCAGTTTGACGCCAATTTTGCAACGCTTTCTTGGGGATTAAAAAAGAATTTCTGTATATTTCGAAAAAAATGAAACTATGCATCCAACCTTGAGTTTATTTAAAAATTAATATCAATCGCATTGTCTCTTATGGGCATATTGCTTGTAATTCATGATATGAAGGATAGGGTTGTCAAAAAATGCAAAATGGATTCTTCTATATCGAAAAAATACACCGTTTCTTTCTTAGTATTTAATTCTGTTTTAGTACTTTCAAAACAGCTCCAAAGCATGCATGAAATTACTTATGCATATCGAAGATTTGCTACGTAAGATTGGTGCATATTTTAGTAGAAGTTGTGTTCGTCAAGAAAAGCAATATGATGCCATACGTTCCTATATGAGACTGCATGCTTTTGGCGACAGGGTTTATTCTGAAAAGCTTGGATGAACCTCATACCTTGATATACCTTCATTTCATGAAATACTGGTAGCGTCTTCTTAAAGACTTTAATATAATTTTTCAATCAGAGCGCCAATTGCTTTACAAATTAAAGCCCCGACAAACATTTTGGAAACGGTTATGTCGAAATATTTGAACATGCAAATTTTAAAAACAAACGACATATGGATTCTGGATTTTCTTAATTTGTCTCAAGTATATATGTATTTGTGTAGCAGTCGACTTTAGCGATGAACTTTGCAATATTTTAAAAATGTTTGACCCTCGTTACACGTACATATGTAGGCTCTGCATCTAACTTTTTTTAAAAAGAAATTTCCATTCATTTTTATAAGTTTCCAAGACCTAGAAAATTAGTAACGAAGTCTTGCAATCTTAAATTATGCAGAACTACATCTGGATCCTAATTTGAATGCCGTGTCTTATTGGAAGAAAATTTTTAATCCGCTAGGCTATGCGGGTGTGCAGATTTTCACTAATTTAAAAAAAGTTTTAGCATTTCTAATGATAACGACTTCCATTTTCTTACGCTGCAGTTGAGAGAGTAATTCAACGACTGAGTGGAAGATCGACTTACATATCTCGGCAACCAGTTCGAAAACGCCCTATCTCAGAAAACTTTTCAAGAACGCCCTATCTCAGCTGCCGAAATAGGACATTTTATTACATATACAGCGTGAAAAATAATAGCTGTCGATTCATTCATAAAAATATAAACTATTTACGACACATTTTCAACAATCCTTATACTCTTGATTTGCAGGACTTGCTCTAAACATTTGAGAAAATTTTCGTTTGATATTTCGTCACATATATTTGTTAAATCTTTTTTGAAATTATCCAAGGACATGTTATTTATGCTACCTAGTTAGCTTGGCACACAGCCCCAAGCTCTCTAATCCGATGGGTTTAAGTATAAAATATTTCAAGCTTTTTGAACTCACATGTTTCGGTCCCTCTCATCTTATTTCGGAAAATACGTATCGGTTCCCTCTTCAGTTCCCTATAAGGGTCCCATATAGAATTTTTTTCCTGCAGCTTCGTGACACTCCTTATCGTATAAGTTGTTCTTTCTGGCTCGCTGAAATCCGACTACTTCTCCGACGGCGGTACGTTATGAGCGGGGATGTGGTTCCACTGCTCCCATATATATGTCGATTTGTTTTTAAATAGCTATGCACTAGTTCTGAACCAATTCTATTTACTGAGGGGGATGTAGGTATGCCCACTGGCATCCCTCCAGTACTGCTGGAGTCAATCGCTACATTTCAACCGCTACTGCACCGACTCCTAGGTATGTAGCTACTCTATTAACCCGTGGTAGTGCACATGGTAGTGCAGAGTCGAACCAGTCGGAAGCAGAATAGCGAAAAACTACGACAGAGGGCGCCCATAAATCACGCAAGTGACTACTTTAGTAACTCCCGGTAGTGCAGAGAGAGCCGATGGTGACTACCGCCTAGGACATTGCCTTGTAAAAGTAATCGATGAAATACACTGCAAGTAGTCGGTCGGTAATTGACGGAGTTTACCAGGTAGCTACCGATTCATCAGTCCTGTAGTCGCTCCCCCGTACTGCAGGGATGTATTTTCATATCGATATACACATGTACATACATACATGCACGTGAATGTAAGAATGGTCCCTGTAGGGAAAACCCGAACTAGCGGATCAAATTTCTAGTTCAGTACTAGTTCTTTATCGCCAAAAACGAACCAGTCTGATAGTAACTAGATCCTCAGCAGAACAAAAGCAGCTACATGTGGTACTTTTTGGTTTTGGCGATTTTTATTTTGTTTATTTAATGTTTATACTTTTTTTTTATAAAAGTTTAGCACTTTACCTACAAAAATTATGGAAATTCAACAAACTTATAACATTGCACCAAAAATTTTAAAATATTTATTTAGAAATTTTGGGTATGCAGTTTTGTAGCTCATTAAATTTTAGTAGGTTGAAGTTCAAATTTCAAGACGCTAGAAAATCGCGTTGATATTAAATACTTTTTTTTTTGCTGACAGTGTTGTGCATTTTCTTCCACATAAAGTACGCTCGACAATTTCGTTTGTATGGGAGAAAATGCCCATCACCATCACCAAAAAAAAAAAATATATTAAAAATGAACGCGATTTTCTAGCGTCTTGAAATTTGCACTTTAGCCTACTGAAATTTAATGAGCTACAAAACTGCATACCCAAAATTTGTCTAAAGATTCGAAATAAAAAGTTTAAAATTTTTGAGTGCAAGTTTGTTGAATTTTCATAATTTTTGTACGAAGTTTTAAATATGGATTTATATGGCGCTGATTAGGTAAAGTGCTAATCTTTTATAAAAAACATATAAGGCAATAATATTTAGAAAATATGAATAAAAAAACTTTGCATTAGAAATCTAGATCGAAGATGACTAATTGCGAACTGGTTCGGAACTATCGAAAAATGGATGCAGCGGGGGCAATTGACACTTCTTAGGACATCGCAATGTGTAATTCGCCAGTTGCTAGTATGCCAAAGAGAATTAACGTGTACTACTTAGTCATAGTTCTTAATTCTCTAGAGCCAAACTAGTGCGCTTCCCTGCAGGGGTTAAGCTTTTGGTGTTAATGGGCGTGTTGTTGATCTGATGTGGTTAGAATAGACGTGTGCTGCATTAATACAGCTCCCTCCTTACAGCTAGATGACGAGAACCTCCAATAGTCGTTTGTAGGTCGCTTATTTATTTAGCAAACAAATCGGTCATTTGTGTTAGTAGCAACAACAAAACACAAAATGCATATGCATAAAGAGTTTATAAACTGCCTCAAAAAATAGCAACAACTGTAATAGCAAACAGCAACAACAAAAAAGGAAAACTTATATATACTTATGTACTTACGCGCAATAGTGCAAACACAAGATCACTTCTGTACGCATTTTCTTTTTCATATTTAGTGCTTTTGTGTGTATAATATATGTATCTATTTGTGTATGTATGTGTATACAAACGTTTATATGCATGTTGCGCTCCCACACTCTCTAATTTAGTATGAGTTTGCTTAAGAATCGCCGATGCCGCTATGAGGATCACTAGCCAGCCATTGTTTTTCCAAGAGATACGTACATGTGTTTTCATACATACATACATACACGCATCTTCTTAAGCGTTAAGATAAATGAGGGGAGTGCTTTTCTTTTAGTATATGCGCATATTATATTTTTCCAACTCCTCCATAATGATGACGGCAGAGATATTGCGCTCAAGCAGTCGGATGGAGATCATCACCCATTCATGGTCTAATTTTCCTGCGCCTCTTAATATCAACATTTTACAGTTTTCTTAAAACCACCCATCGCATTATCGTTTCGATTGTTCGCTGTAGTACAACGTGTCGGAATATTCGTGAGTTTTCGTGTGGTATGCATATATATACATATATATGTGGAAATAGAGACCGTTAAGAATTAATTAAACGTTTGCACACCCGTAACAAATCTAGTGATAAAAATTCCCCAAAGTTTAACTGTAGAAAGATAAAAGTGATAGTGAAAGTGATGCTACCCTCACCATATCACCCGGCAGCCACGGCAATGAATGACTTGCATTTAGGTCGTCCCGATTATTTGTGTGCAAATAATCCGTCGGTAGCTGCATTGTTGTCAGATAATAATGTTGCGGCCGCTGCTTATTACTACCAACAAATGAATCCCTTCCTGCGGATCAGCAACAATTTTTGGACAATGCCATTGTCCTTCATACAAACTTCACATCGTCCGGAAAAGCCACCGTTTTCCTATATTGCTCTAATCGCAATGGCCATAAGCAGCGCACCCAATCAGCGTCTAACACTGAGCGGCATCTACAAATTCATCATGGAAAAGTAATTATGTACTTGAAATATAATTAAACGTTCGTTAGTTCTGTGTAAATTAACTTCGCTAAACCGTGCTTGAATCGAAAATTTCACTTATTTCTAGGCAATTATTTGCGAATTATTGGTAGGAACTATGTTAAAATCATAAGAGTGTATATATGTATGTATGTACATTAGACTGCATCGTTCCCCATACAAAAAAAAATCGGGACTGTGTTTCCATTGGAATTATAAAATCTATTATATTTTAAGACATCCACCAAAATATTAAAGATTGACGTGAGCTGGATCGATTTGAAAATACCTCCAAAAATGGAGTTTTTTATGAATAAAAATAGTTTCTCAAAGATTTTTTTGAAAAAAATCTCCTCAAATGCTTAAAAAATTTGCATAAAAATATTTTTAAAAAATGTAAAAAAAAAATTTCAACGGAATTGTAATAATGAGATTTTTGAAAAACTTGAATAACTGAACCTTAACTATTCCGATTTAGACACGTGAGGTATAATTGGAAAGGTATTTTCTCACCCTTTTTATTTATTTGCTGATAAACTTATTCAAAGGATGAAAGAGTAAGGTAGGATGAACGAGCGTCATTCCAAGTTGAATTAAGATGCGTTGGTATTTGGGGAAAAAAAATTGGGACGTGAATGAGCTTTTTTGAGGACAGAAATAAAAAGAGTGAGAAAATGCTTTTCTACTGAGACCACATAAGTCTAAATCAGAGTAGCTTTCGCCCAGTTATTCAAGTTTTTCGTAAATCAATCTTTGAAAAAAGTTAAAAAACAGCATCAAAAATCTCATTATTACGATTCCGTTGAAAAGATTTTTAAATAGTTTTATACAGATTTTTTAAGCTTAATCTATTTTGTCATCTGAGGTGATTTTTCTCAAAAAGTTCTTTAAGAAACTATTTTTACTCATAAAAACCTCCCTTTTTGAGGTATTTTCAAATCGGTCCAGCTCACGTAAATCTTAATATTTTTCGGATATATTTTGGTGGACGTCTTCAAATATAATAAATTTTGTAATCCCGGCGGACTTTTTTTTGAGGTATTTTCAAATCGGTCCAGCTCACGTAAATCTTAATATTTTTCCGATATATTTTGGTGGACGTCTTCAAATATAATAAATTTTGTAATCCCGGCGCAACTTTTTTTGGTGATACAGTCTAATGTACATACACATGTGAGCCGCTTAGTTTGAAAGTGGCATAAGTAATTTCCACCTCTTGTGCTGAAATGGTTGGTTACTTCCAACACTGTTCAGCTGTCGGCTGGGGAATTGATGAAACCAAGTTTTTCTGAGAGTCTGGATTGTATATAGGAAAGTAATTTCTCAGTTTCCTACACCTTCCTTCCACATCAAAAGGCCTTTGTAAGGTGTTTTGGGTACGAGGAATCTGAATCTGCAATTTATTTTTATCAAAAACGGCCGCTGGGTCCGCTTTTTTGTGGTTTGGTGCAAGCAAACATGAAGAAACATTGTTTGCACTTTTCCTTCATGTTCCCTTCATTTTTTATGCATCATAGCGCACCCAGCGGCCGTTTTTGGCAAACATAAATTGCAAATTCAGATTCCTCGGACCTAAAACCCCTAAAAAGGCCTTTTGATGGAATATATATTTGCATTAAAAATTACTTTTAATTTTTGTAAATGCTACTCCGCGATCACCAAATTCAAATTAAAAAAAATAAACGCTTAAAATCGCCAACCTGCGAAAACTGAGAAATTACTTTTCTATATACAATCCACTCTTTCAGAAAATCTCGGTTACATCAATTCCCCAAAAAAAAAAACTGAAAATGTCCTACAGTGTAATCGAATGGATATCTTAATTGTTCTACCATCTTAAACTAAATGGCAAAACGTTTTAATAATAATAATAGATTGGCGCTTACACATAAGTTAGTGTTTGGCCGAGCTTCTCCTCCGATTTGTGGCGTGCGCCTTGATGTTGTCACACAAAGCAGAGGGACCTACAGTTTTACGCCGACTCCAAACGGCGATTGTATTTTTATGAGAAGCTTTTTTTCATGGCAGAAATGCACTCGGAGGTTTGCCATTGCCTGCCGAGGGGCGACCGCTGTTAAGAAAAAACCTTTTTTCTATATTTTTTGCGATGTTGCTTTGACCACGGTTTGAACCCAGGTGCTGATGAGTGAAAGCGCGCACTGCTTACCACTACACCACAGCGGCCACGTTTTACCTTACCGAATAACAGACGCGTTTAGATACAGGTAAATGATCACAGAAGTCAAACGGCGCGAAATGACTTAAGCCACTCTCAAAATAAACGGCTCATATATCATATAGGCAAAGTAGTAAATATAATTTATGCGAATTTTATAGCTATAACATATTTCGACCTTATATACACGTCACAAAGAGTTTTGAATGGGCGATAGTTTAAAATTTTATTTACTTTAATCACCGCTTTAAGGTTTGTAAGAGATCGATTGGACGAAGCTGACCATGCCTGTTAGGCCTATTTTGTCCTACGTTGTGGTAATCTGATGGTCTAGCCTCAAATAGAAATCAACTATACAAACACTTCAAATGGGGTAAAGCGCTCCTGGAAAAAACGTGGACAACAAAGTAGGAGGTGGAGACTTCTCAGCACACTTGGGTCAGAAAAAATCATTTCGCCTGCCCAACCACAGTAGCGTATATTAAGCTGAGGTTGCGGCTATAGGGGAGGCGGTTAACGCATAATGGTTTGAATGGGAGGGTATCTTAGATCCACGTGGTATCACAACAGGCCCATAATTAGGGGCGTAGTTGTACTGATAGGTCACTGACAGCCACTTCAACCTAACCTAACCTAAAACGGTGCTTACTCGTTAGGCATTATGCCGTCGGGCCATCTGAATGATATAAGCAGTTTTGTTTGGTCACCATCGGCAGGTAACTCTTATCTTCCCATTTTCAAACTTCACATAAAAATTGTCTGGTTTTCAGAGGCGGCATAAACCGCTAACCGAAGGAGAATATGTTCCCTGCTTCTTGTGAAGCGCTGTAATCGCATAAGCGATTAAAGCATGTGCCTAAAGTAGTGGCTCCTCCCTCCTTGACTTGGGGCTCGGAGTCATCTTCTCTTTAGCAAGAAGGGGAACTGCCATGATTTTAGAACGCTCTGGACATCAGTTACTAGGTCGCCGTGTTTGTTCTTATAGGAATTTGTACTGGTGTCCGAATTTACGTAAGTCGCCTATCTTTCTTATAGAGTTTTCGGGAGTATTTCCAGTTCTCGTCATACCAGTTGTTCCGGCTCAGTCTGATACTTAAGCTTTTTACGCCGTTGAATTTGGAAGTCGTATTCCACTACTTCCACTACAGATTGTGATATTAATTTTCTTCTTTCATTTCATAGTGTGCGAATAACAAAACTTCAGCAGATCTCGCGTTTAAACAGAAAATAAGAAAAGAAAATAGAAGCTTTCGGCGAATCATACAAGTTATATAAAATTAAATAAATGGAAGAAAGTTTTTAAGAGTTTTGGGTTTTCTTAATTCTTATGTAATTTCAGCGACTACGAATTTTTTTTTTGTTGAGGAGTATTTTTCCCGGAAGTGTTATACAGCTTTTGTAAATATTTATATTTTACTTAGTGCTGTTGATTTGTATGGGAGTAACAAGAAGGACACAGAGTGTGATAAGGATTTTTGGTATAATTCAAATACAAATTTAAAAAACGTATTTATTGAGTAGATTAATGCAAGACAACGACATTTTGGAGTGTGTATTCAATTCTGCCCGAGTGGCTTGATAAAAGCAGGTAATTGAAAAACGAATGCGATGAAGCCGGTAGTTAGATGGTAGTTAAAAAAGAAGTAAAATGTATTTTTTAGCTCCCACAGTTGACACAGGTCACCTCATGGCCCCGCTTACAATAGCAACAACCATTATAATGTATTTTTTAAGGGTTATTTCACAATAACAAAACGATAATGTTGCCAGCTAAACGCATATAAGAAAATAATTACAATCTAGTCAAATTCGATTAGGTTGGTGTCCATGTCCTCGACATGCCGGCCCGCCTGCATCGGTGCGAGTTGAAGCAACTCTGGCAACTTCTCTAATGTCAGCAAAGCCCGGTTGAAAAGGTCGCGGGGTTAAATGGGGTGGCTATAGCCGCGCGCCTGCTTCCAGGGTCACTTTTGCCGCGCGGCTAGGAAGTGTTGGTTGTCCACGGCGGCCTGGATTATATACGTCCTCGTGGCGCTTATGTTCAGGAGGCAGCGGCGTGGAACGATGTAACAGCGTATGGTGCGCCTTCCCACAACAGTGGCAGCTGTCTGCTGAGTTGCAGACACCTGTGGTGTGCGATGTTGCCAAACAGTTGACACAGCACTTGTGCACTCGCACGGACTCGTACCGCTCATCGGGCGTCATGGCTAAAAACGCAGCACAGACGGCATTGATGTAGCTCCATCGTGTTTCTGTGCATCTTCAGCGATGCCATATTGTGGGTGATTCCCTAAATTGGGGGAAACTATATATTTTCTGGGTAACGCTTGGGAACGATATGTTGTGGGGAAACTTGTGGAATTTGCTCTTTAATTACGATCTATGAAGAACTCGAGTTTCATAAACATTTTGAAATTAATTTTCATAGAATTTCCTTATTTCTTGTAGTGTCTTCTGTATTAAATGTTTTTCTATTTAATTAAAACTAGCAACAATACAAGTATAGTATTATTAGAAGCACTGTGTAATAATTACTGTAGCAGTAGCAGGGCGAATTCGTACAAGGTGGTCTTGCATAAGCAGCCGAGATATTCGCCGCAGGGGCCGAACATAATAGTTATTGATGAAAACTGTCATGGAAAAATTCCCTATGTGGTTAAATGTTCTACAACTAAGTGATACATACCGATCGATTTCTTTTTTCACCGAGAATCAATTTCGAAAATAAAGTTTTATTTGTAATTTCTATGCAAAATTAAAAAAAATAACAATTATTTTTGATTTTTATTTTACAAATCCAAAATAACAACTATGT